GGGTGAGATTCTGGGATACAGTGTAGACAACTCTTATGTCGACTGTTCAATGTGGGGTGAGACGTTGGGCGTGGAGGTGAAGTGAGTGACGTGGGGTGGGGGTGGGGTATTGAAATTTTACTTTCTAGAAAGGTTTCTAGACTTTCCGCTTATTTGGTTCAATCCTGTCTAAGGGGACTTTACTTTCTGAGGTTCCGCCTTTTCATAAAAATCCTCATCGTCTTGAAATGGCTATTTAATCGGGGTTTTTCAATAAATCATTTAGAAGGCAAGATGAAGAGACCGACCATGCCTTTTAGGACGAAACCAAGGCTGTGGGGGATAAATAGAAACCTAAAGGGGCGGTACTCAGGAAGCATGTTCCCAAATCTGAGTTCTTTCGCTTTACCATGTTGGCAAAATACAATGACATTTTCAATGGTGCAGAAAAGACAAGGGTTACAGGGTCATCTACTACTAGCATATTAGTTAGTTAGTTAGTTAGTTAGTTAGTTAGTTAGTTAGTTAGTTAGTTAGTTAGTTATTTAGTTAGTTAGTTAGTTAGTTAGTTAGTTCGTTTGTTAGTTAGTTCGTTCGTAGTTAGTTAGTTAGTTAGTTAGTTAGTTAGTTACTTAGTTACTTAGTTAGTTACTTAGTTAGTTATGTAATTAAGGGAGAGGTACTGAAACTAAAAATAAAAACATAATATAATTATTTTGTTTTTCACACTGTATACACCGTGCGTTGCCAGAGACAGCTGAGACCGGCATTTGTGGTGTAGCGGTTAGGTGCTTCGCCTTCACACGCAGTAGACCAGAGTTCGATTCCCCGCTTGGGGAGAACTTTTATCGAGTACATAGGTCTTTCAGATGGATTTTTGCATCTTTTTCACTTCCGGTTGGCCATGACTCTTGACAGATATGGTCGAAGCCTGCTTCCTAAATGATCTGAATTATGTTATTGGGAACGAATAATAAATACCTCCAACATTTTTCTTGGGAAGGGGGAGGGGATATGATCAAAGCACACATTTAACTCTTACCAACCCCCAGGGGCTCCTTTCGTGGTCTTTCTTAGTGTATTTCACTAATTACATGTAATTTTATTGTTGTTCTCTCTCTTCGACTCCAAAAAATCCCCAGAAAAAATTAGTTCTTTGTATTGTTGTTAGCTCCCCTTGATTCTAAAAAAAGAAACGTTTCATTGTTTTTATTATTATTATTATTATTATTATTATTATTATTATTATTATTATTATTATTATTATTATTATTATTATTATTATCTCAACAGGATTCTAAAGCAAGAAAAGCCCCATTGTCTTTATTGTTGTTATCTCCGCTTATTCCTACGAAGGAAATCTTTTTGTTGATGTATTATTGTTATCTCCCCTCAATATTTAAAGAAAGAAACGTTTCATTGTTTTTATTGTTGTAACCTCCCCTCGATGTTGCAAAAACAAAAAGTTTCATCGTTTCTATCGTTGTTTTCTCCACTTGATATCAAAAGAAATAATATTTTTCTTTGCTTTTACTGTTGTCATCTCCCCTCGATGTTACAAAAACGAAAAGTTTCATCCTATATGTATCTCTATCGTTGCTATCTCCCGTCGATGTTACAAAAACGAAAAGTTTCATCCTATATGTATCTCTATCGTTGCTATCTCCCGTCGATGTTACAAAAACGAAAAGTTTCATCCCATATGTATCTCTATCGTTGCTATCTCCCGTCGATGTTACAAAAACGAAAAGTTTCATCCTATGTATCTCTATCGTTGCTATCTCCCGTCGATGTTACAAAAACGAAAACTTTCATCCTATATGTATCTCTATCGTTGCTATCTCCCCTCGATGTTACAAAAACGAAAAGTTTCATCCTATATGTAACTCTATCGTTGCTATCTCCCCTCCCCCTTACCCAGCTCCACCGACTCCTCACTGTGAGACCAGGGCTGCAGTTTCCCCGAGCTTAGGAACAAGAAGACGAGGCCGCCCACCAGCGACAGCGCCGCCACCACATAAAACATGATCTGCCACTGCTCCTGCGTCTTCTGAAATAGTATTAGTGATAACACTATTAAACATAATAACATAATACATGGACGTGTAATAACAGTAGGCCTAATAGATGTAGTAATAATGGTAGGCTTACTACTACTACTACTACTACTACTACTACTACTACTACTACTACTACTACTACTACTACTACTACTACTACTACTACTACTACTATTACTATACATTGTTTTGATGATAATAATAATAACCATCATGAAATAATAATAATAATAATGATTATAACAGCAACATATGATAGTAATAATAAAAAGAATAATAATAAATATAGTAATAATAATAATAATGATAATAATAATAATTTATGAATAATATGAATATATGTAATATGAATAATAATATAAATAATAATAATAATGATAATAATAATGATGATGATGATAATGATCATGATGATAATAATAGCAATAATAAAATAACACTAATAAAAATGATCGTACTTATTATCATGATCATCATCATCATCATTATCATCATCATCATTATTATTATTTTATTATCACTATTATGATAACTATCATTATTATTATTATTATTATTATTATTATTATCATTATTATTATTGTTATTACTATTGTTACTGTTATCATTATTGTTATTACTATTATTAATTTTGTTATTATACATTGCATTTATATAGTGCATTTTTATAGATTAAAATGCTCAGCGCTTTACAAAATGGCTTGAAAATACAAGCGGGATTAACGCACTGAACGAAGTATATAAAACAACACCAGTGTCTTCAATGTATAGCTACATGAAAACAGGAATATAGACAGGACGATATTGTGTTTAGACCATAGAGTATGGTTTAGACACAAATCATGTAACAGTTTTTAGAAGTAAGGATCGAATGGAACACGGTAAACAATCGCAAGGAAATACAGAACAGGAGGAGACATGATTAGATATATTGTTCCCCCCCCCCCCCCCCCCACTTCCGCCTCGTCATCAAGTGAGCTCCACGTGCGTTTAGAAAACCTTTATCTTAACATAAAAAACCCCAAAACAACAACAACAACAACACACAAGTCTATGAACATGCCTACAAGTAAGCAGACATGCGTACTGTAGGGGCCTACTTTTTTGGGCTATCATAACGAAGAGAGGGCACCTGAAATGAGGGTTTGGCTTCAATACACGTACATGTATCATTTTTGAAAAACATTTTCCTTTAGTTTAGCCACTATTGCGTCATTTTACCAAATTATGTTAAGCCTCAAATAGAAAATATATATTTCTTCTAAAATGCTTTTGAAAGGTAGTGATTTACAATTTACAACTTCTTGTACGGTAGTGTTCTGAGCGTGTTACAACGGTGAATACAGGGAACCCGTAACTACAGAGATTTTTGAAATCCCCGTTTTTTCCTACTCTTTGTCTCTATTAAAAGTTATCGCATCGGAGCCCAATCGGTTATAGCAGGAACAAAGGCGAAAAATTCAGTAAGCCCGTGGCCCGTAGCAATTTGTAAGAGAGAGAGAAAGAGAGAGCGAGCGAGAGAGAGAGAGAGAGAGAGAGTAGCGCGGAGCAGGCCCACACAAGCCACGTCACTGCAAGCACACGCAGCGGGTGAAGCGAGAGAGGGCTGCGGTGTGCTGCCGACTTCGATCTTGTGCTAGGCCTAACCTGAGCCAAGCTACACGCACGCGTAGTGTGTCAGGCCCTGGTCATGCGCAGAGCTTGTTTCGAGGCGTTCACAGTTCAAAACAACACACACGCATACGCTACGCGGTGCAACACACCACACTGTGACTTTACTTAACTAACAAACGCTGTGGACGACCGGTCAGACTGGATTTTTATTTCCTTCATTATGGCCACCAACAATGTCAAACGCAAGAGAAAATGCCTTTCAATTACCAAAAAATATGAAATAATCCAGGCTGTTGACAAAAAGCAAGCTCCACTTTCAGAGATTTGTCGTCAGTTTGACATTCCACAAGGGTCGATTCACACCATTATCAAGGATAGAGAGAAGATAGTGGCAGCATACTGCAATGGAAAGTTTACTCCGAATCGAAAGAAGATAAGACTATCTGATGCAGATACTGTGGACCAAGCTCTTCTAGAGTGGTTTGAGGAGGCAAGGAGAAAGTCGGAGCCAATATCAAGCCGAATATTGACAGAGAAGGCACTGGAATTTGCAAGTCGTCTTGGTGTGGCGAACTTCACTGCTGGTGTAGGGTGGCTTGGAAGATTTAAAGCACGACATGGCATTCAGTTGAAGGCTAAATATGGCCAGTCGGCAACTGTGTCGTGTGAAAGTGAAACAATGGAAGACTGGAAAAACTCGACTCTACAAGCTTTGTTGGAGGAGTTTAGCCCTTCTGATATTTTCAATGCGGACGAGACAGGGCTTTTTTACAAATGTCTGCCAACACGAACGTTAGCAGAGAATGGAGAAAGTACAAGTGGAGTCCACACACCGAAAGACCGCCTTACACTGCTTCTAGCTGCAAACATGACAGGCACAGAAAAGCTCCCCCTCCTGACCATTGGAAAATCTGTGAACCCCAGGTGCCTCAGGAATGTTAGGACGCGGCCAACCCTCTGCCAATGGAATCGCAAGGCATGGATGACATCAACGATTTTTGAAGGATGGGTGAAGCAACTGGACAGAAAGTTCCAACTTCTAGGCAGGAGCATAGCTCTCATCATTGACAACTGCCCAGCACATCAGGTCATTCCAGACTTGAGAGCCATAACGCTGGTATTTCTGCCTCCCAACACCACCCGTGACCTCCAACCCTGTGACCAGGGCATTATCCAATCCCTCAAAGTGCACTACAGGCGGAGAGTCCTCAGACAAGTCATCGCAAGAGTTGATGCTGGAGAAGATCCAAAGTCTTGCCTCGACTTGAGCATTTTTGATGCAATGATTATTGCCTCTGCTGCGTGGAATGATGTCACACAAGACACAATTGCCAATTGTTTCAGGCATGCAGGATTTAGCACAACTACACAATCAGGCAATGAAGAAGAACCTTCATCCCTTGACAGTGACAGGATTGAAGTGGAGGAGCTTCTGGAACAGCTCAAAAGACGACGCATTCAGGGCGTGCCAAGTGCTGAGGATCTATTTGAAACTGACAACAGTGACCTTCCAACGTCGGCCCCATTGATAGAACAAGAAGTATTAGAAGCTGACAACACTGGCCCTCCAGTGTCAACACCATTTACAGAAGAAGAAGTACTTGGAACTGACAACAGTGACCTTCCACTGTCAACTCCATTGACAGAGGAAGAAGATATTGTATCCAGTATTCAACAAAAGGAGGAAGACACACCACTGTCAGAATCAGAAGAGGAGGATGAGAGCTTAACAATGGCAAATGTCACCAGCAGACAATGCCTTGAAGCCCTCAGTACTGTGCAGGCCTATCTTCTACAACATGCTGGCAGTATTGACCATTTGCAGCCGTTAGTGGATATTAAAAGTTTTGTCGAAGACACAGCCATTAGCAAACGGAGGCAGAAGACAATCAAGGACTATTTCAAAAGTAAATGAGAAGGTCCTTTGCATTTTTTGCCTCCTTTTAAAATTTTAAAGAAGATTTACATTTATTACTTAATTTCATGTTGATCTGGCGAAGGAGGGATAGTACCTTTGGGTGGGGGGCATATATCATGCCTGAAGCCAACTGGTTCCCACTTGTGCCTTTCATTGAGAAAAAAAAAAACAGAAAAAAAAAACAAAAAAAAAAACAACAACAAAAAAACAACAACCCCATGACGTATGCAATTTAAAATATTGCCTAGTCCAAAACCCTTGTTTGTGTGTACTTGTTTCAAGGGAAACTACCCATGAATAAATATGGTTACATTAGTCCGCAAATGCTTACTTCCCTTGCACTTCTGATTTAACAGTGACCTGATGTTACCGGAATATGACTTTTTCGCTGGTCCCACCATTCCTGTTATATAATAAAAAATAATAATGATAATAATAATGAAAGTTATTTTTATAGCGCTCAATCGCGATTAAAGTACACAGGCTCTGACCGCTTTACAATACAGGTTTCCACTGTATTGCTGTCTTTCACTTCAGCCACACCCCTGATCTGATTTGGAAAGTAACTAACACATAACATTATATTATAGATTCTAGCCTTTTCTTATACTCGCAAAATTTTTTCGGAGGTCCCGTGTTCAAAAAGAGTGGGGGGAGGGGGGGGGGGCTACACCTGAAGGCTATCTTGCTTATTAGTTGATCAAATGTTACCACATTTCACATATAAAAAGCATAGTAAGGAGTCTTAAAATCTGCAATAAATTTGAGAAAAACGTTTTGTTTCCATAGATACGGCGTCCAATGGTTCATATAGGATTTTGTCGACATATCTTACATAATGAATAACGCTCTCATTTTTTCCTGGAAATTGATTGTTTTGGTTTCTTTGCATGCAGATTACTGTTATTTAGCAAACATTAGATCTAAAAAATTGTCTTTTGATTTTTTTTTTCTAAATTAATTAGAACATTTTATTGAATCTTTTCCTCTATTCAAGTTTGAAAAAAAAAATCAGTGAAAATCCACACTCCAGACACCACCAACAAAAATCTAAAAAGGCAAATTTTTAGTGTTACATCTTCTCTTCATTCTGTGAAAATTTAACGAGGATTGGATGAAAAATGGAGGAGCTATTAAAAAAAGTAGCCTATAATAAAGAAAAATCGCGTTTTGAGAGAACGGCCGATAACGAAGAATAAAATATTGACTTTATGAGGAAATGGTGGGGACAAACATACCGTACCTGAAATGGGAAAAAGATAAAGCTTGAAGGGGATTTTTATGCGATGGAATAGTTGTAGGAGTAGGAGATGCTGAAAAAGCTAAATATACCTCTACAACTCAAATTCCTATAATTTTGAGCCGAATCGAGACTTTTAGCCCTATGAACCTATGCAGGTGCCAGAACTGTTAAAAAAAAAAAGAAAAAAACTACCAAAAAACCACCAAAACAAAACAAAATATAAAACAGCCCACACATCTAGAAAAGCCCTCCGCAGTATAGTAGCCAATGGCCTGTGCATTAATATCGTTTAATGTCGTTCCACACAGCGCACAATGAACCATTAACATGGGGTGGTATGGTAGTGGATAGATATATATGAGGGTGTGTTCTAAAACTGATCAGTGAACCAAACGGTTCTATTGACCGATTCCGAATCAGTGATCAGGTCAAACGTTTGATGGTTGGTTGTGTTGCCTTTTTAATTTTAGTTTTAGTAGTAGAGGTTTTACGGCGCGCAACTGCATAAGGTCATATATATGAGCGCCCAGGGGTGGATGTCAACAGACAAGTCTTTACAGGAAATCAGACGTAATCTGCTCACCTCTCTAGCTTCAACAGCACAAGGTCTGCTTCGACTATCAAGGCACCCCGATATCCGGTCACAAGAGTGTGACAAACATACAATAAAAGAAAGAAAGAAAAAA